TCTTTTTGAGACAAAGTCTCACTCCGTTGCTGGGGCTAGAGTGCCATGGCATCAGACTAGCTCACAGCAACCTCCAACTCCTGGGCTCAAGCAATCCTTCTTCCTCAGCCTCCCGAGTAGCTGGGACTATAGGCCTGAGCCACCATGCCCGGCTAATTTTTTCTATATATTTTTAGTTGGCCAATTAATTTCTTTCTATTTTTAGTGGAGGTGGGGTCTCATTCTTGCTCAGGCTGGTTTCGAACTCCTGACCTTGAGCGATCTGCCTGCCTCAGCCTCCCAGAGTGCTAGGATTATAGGCCTGAGCCACCATACCCTGCCGAGATATATCTATATTGATATTTGTAAAAAACTGAATTTTTATCCACATGCAGAACTGTCCCAAAAAAAAACAACTGAATTTTTTAATGATAAATGCATTTTGTATACCATCTAAGAAATTTTTGCCATTCCCAGAGTTACAAAGATTATCTCTTATATATCTTTCCAGAATTTTTTTTTTTTTTGAGACAGAGTCTCGCTTTGTTGTCCAAGCTAGAGTGCAGTGCCGTGGCGTCAGGCTAGCTCACAGCAACCTCAAACTCCTGGGCTCGAGCGATCCTTTGCCTCAGCTCTCCAAGTAGCTGGACTACAGGCATTGCGCCACCATGCCCGGCAATTTTTGATATACTATCAGTTGCCAAATCTTGCTCAGGCTGGTTTTGAACTCCTGACCTTGAGCAATCCGCCCGCCTCGGCCTCCCAAGAGCTAGGATTACAGGCGTGAGCCACAGCGCCCGGCCTCCAAACTGTTTTTGCAAAGACTTTTCATTTTCATGTGTGGTCACTGAAATCTCTGATTCTTTTAGCTTGTATTCAGCTAGGGTTTTGACAGATTTCCTTGAATGTGAGGAGCTAAATATAGAAGAAAAAAAACACCTCTCTGAGTCTTTGAAGATGGCCTCTGTGCTGCAGTTTTGCCTCAGCACTTAGCTAGGCCTGCGCTGATCCTAGTGATCAGACCAAGGTGAAAACTTAGGGTCTTGTTCAGGTATTTTCTGAACGTGCATCTTACTCTGAGTATACGTATGGCCTTCTAAATTCCCTCTAATACATGAGTGGTTATAAATGTCCTGATTTCCCAGAGAAATTCTCCCCAAATTTGCAACCTTTAGGAAGTCTGTATTAGTTTTTGAGAGCTAGCATTAACAAAACACCACAGACTGGATGGCTTAACCAATAGAAATTTATTTTCCTGCAGTTCTAGAGACAAGAAGTCTAAGATCAAGGCACCAACAGTGCTGGTTTCTCATAAGTTTTCTTTCACTGGGTTGCACATGTCTGCCTCATTGCTGTGCCCTCACGTGACCTTTTCTCTGTGTGCACACATCCCTGGTACTTCTTCCTTTTCTATAAGGACACCAGTCATACTGGGTTAGGGTCGTACCGTTATGACCTCATTTAACCTTAATTACCTCTTTAAAGGCCCTGTCTCTAGATACAGTCACACTGGGTTAGGATTCAGCTTGTGAATTTTGGAAAATACAATCTAGTCCATAATCTTTTGTCCCAGGCATATGTGGGTTGTTTGTTAGTCTTGCAATGTTTTTGAGCAAAGCCTACCACTTTTCCATCCTCGGTGAGTTCCAGTTTAGGGAAATTGAGACACACACCTATGTCATTCCTGCAGGAAGTCCTCAGACATGTTAGAGCAGACATATACATTCATTTGCAAATAAGGTTTGCCCTGCTCCCCCTGGAACTGTCAGGGGTCCCACACTGGGAATGCAGGCTTCTGTCTTAAAGATTGCTGTCTAGGTGAGGCAAAGGCAAGTAAAAACACCACAAAGCTTTCTTTCCTTTCCTTTTTTTTTTTTTCATCGTCTTATATTCTTTTATTTATTATAATATATATAAGCACATCTGTTTTATGTACAATAACTGGTTCTGTCAAAGAATCACACCAAGGCATTCTACTGGTAATTTCCCCAAAATTAATTCAGGTAAAATTAAGATATTTATGTACTTCACAGGCTATCAAAACTTGAGACTTCATTATTGATTTCAGTTCTGCGGCCACATACACAATTCAAAATATTCATAAACTGGGTTAAGGCGATAAATGTGGGCTGAAAGAAATCGCAGGATTCAGAACAATTAAACTGTGTATTTTGCTCTCATTAGAGTCACAATGTGAACAGCAAACCTTGTGCGTGTCTCAAAGCGCTTTTATATAGTGCCAGGGGCTTCTGACCGTCTGTGACTATGCGGCAGGTGAGCAAACAGCTGACATGACTTGAAGGCTTTGCGAGGGCTCATTTCTTCTCTGCCTCTCCTTTCTTGGGTTCCTGTTTCAGTTTGTAGTCAGCCAGGGCGGCCTTGATTGCATCTTCAGCCAGCCTGGAGCAGTACAGTTTCATGGGAGGAAGGCAGAGTTCCTTGGCGATGTGTGTGTTTTTGATGGTCAAGGCTTCCTCCACCGTTTTCCCTTTCACCCACTCAGTGGCTAATGAGCTGAAGGTGATTGCGGAGCAGCAGCCGAATGTTTTAAACCTGGCATCCACAATCTTCCCCACTTGGATCTGTAATTTCATTACATCACCACATGCTGGAGCCCCCACCAGTCCAGTTCCAACATTTTTAGATGTCTTGTCAAGGGACCCCACATTTCTAGGATTTTCATAATGATCAACCACCTTCTTGTGGTAGAGCCGAGCCAGAGCTGACAGCTCCCGGGCCGGCAGGTGCGGGCTCCGGAGCAATAGGGCTGAAGCCGCCCGCCTCAGACGGCCCACTCCAGTCGCAGCCATCGTGCCGGCTTGCAACTGAACTATTTTCCAGAGTTCTGGCACAGTGGTTCTAACAGTTACTCCATGCTTTTTTATTTTTTTTTTTTTTTATGTTTTTGTGAGAGTATGGGAACTTGGAACTGCCTACTCTGCCCTTTTGCTGATGACATGCCTCAATTATATTTTTAAGAGATTTAAATAATAAGGAAAAAGTTATATATATATATATTTCAGCTTTTGTATGTCTGAAAAATGGCTTTATTTTACCTTGTTAAAAGATACTTTCACCAGTTATAGAATTCTAGGTTTGTAGTTTTTTTCTTTCAGTACTTCAAAGATACTGCTGTTGTCTTCTAATTTGCACCTTTCCTTTCCTTTCTTTTTTCCTTTCCTTTTTCCTTTCCTTCTTTCCTTTCCTTCTTTCCTTTCTTTTCTTCTTGACAGTGTCTCACTTTGTTGCCTGAGCTGGCTAGAGAGCCATGACATCAGCCTAGCTCACAGCTACCTCAAACTCCTGGGCTCAAGCAGTCCTTCTGCCTCAGCCTCCCAAGTAGCTGGGACTACAGGCATGTGCCACCACCATTCCTGGCTAATTTTTTCTATATATTTTTAGTTGGCCAATTAGTTTCTTCCTATTTTCAGTAGAGACGGAGTCTTGCTCTTGATCAGGTTGGTTTCGAACTCCTGACCTTGATCAATCCTCCTGCCTCGGCCTCCCAGAGTGCTAGGATTACAGACATGAGCCACTGCGCCTGGCCAAAGTCTGCTGTCTCTACACTGATCTCTGCCTCCTCAGCCTGGTGGGATCTCCCTACTCTGCTCAGACTCCAACTGTGTGCACTATAGTTGGGAAATTATCCCCAGGTAAAGGATGTTTCCTTTCTCTCAGGGATCACAGTCTTGTGCTTCCTGTTGTTCTCAGCCTGAAAGTAGTTGCCTCATAAATTTTGTCCATTTCTATAGTTGTTTATGGCCGGAGGACTAATCTGGTACCACTTTATCATAGATGGAAAGATTATTAATTTTCAGCTGTATAGTATTTTACTATATGAATTATACCACTACCGATCCATTCCTATATTGTATTAGCCATTTAGGTGTGTTCAAATGGTCAGTAATATAAATGATGCTTCAGTGACTATCTTTCTACCCAGAAATGGAATTGCAGGTTTATAGGATATATATTTCTTCAACCTTACTAGATATTGCCAAGTTGTTCTCCAAATTGAACTGTTTTATATATCTGCAGTCAGCATATGAAATCCATTTATTCTACATCCTTGCCAAAATTTGATCTTGTTGAATTATTAAATTTTTCTTCTTGTGCAAATGAATGCAAAATGGTATCTTGTTACCTTTCCTAGATTACTAACATATATATACACATGTTAATATATATATCTATGTGTGTGCATATATATACACATGTCTGTATTATTGAGTATTTGGGTTTCTTATTTAATAAATTGCTTTTTTAGATGCAAAGTGTCTTTTTAGAAAATTGGACTTTTCATTATTGATTCTTTGGAGTTCCTTATAAATTCTATTTACTAAGAGGTTCGGTTGTATGTGTTAGAATTGTTTTTTCCAGTCTTGGCTTCTTCTAGATGCATATGTTGTCTTTTCCCATACAAAAGTGTTAAATTTTAATGCAGTGGTATTTATCTATGTTTTACTAAATGATTTGTGCATTTTATATGTCCATCTCTTTATTCTCTAGACACAGGGGTGCCCCAAGGTTCAGCCTATGAACTTCTCCATTTACATTAATTCTTTTTTTTTTTTTTTTTTTTGAGACAGAGTCTTGCTTTATTGCCTGGGCTAGAGTGGGGTGAGGTTCTTGAGGTTCTTTTAAGAACCTCAAACTCCTGGGCTCAAGTGATCCTCCTATCTGAGCCTCCCAAGTAGCTGGGACTATAGGTTCTTGCCACCATGCCCAGCTAATTTTTTGTTTCTGTTTTTAGTTGCCTGGCTAATTTTTTCTATTTTTAGTAGAGATGGGGTCTCACTCTTGCTCAGGCTGGTCTTGAACTCTTGACCTCAATCAATCTCCCACCTCAGCCTCCCAGAGTGCTAGGATTATAGGTGTGAAGCACTGCACCCGGCCTACATTAATTCTTAATAATCTTAGTCTCCTGGCATTTGTACACTGTAGCTCCTCCACTGAATTCCAGTCATATATGATAATTTAAAGGATTCTTGCTGAGCGATACTATGTTTCTGTTTCCTTTATTTTCCAAGTTTCTTGGGAATCTGCAGTCATTTTCTCCATTTCCTCACCTTCCATTCACTGTTGAACCCTCTGCAACTTGACTTTTGACCCACTATTCTACTGATAATAATGAGGTTTTTTCTTAAGCAACGCAGCCCATTCCCTTTTCTTTTCAAATGAAGTCTTATGTGAAATCACAATATATTAAACAAGCAGAATTGCTTTTGGAATGGTTTCGGGAAGAGCTGAAATCCAAACTGCTTGCTTCTCATCTCTCCGAGTTGCTCCAGAGGTATCTATTCTTAGTCATGCCTGCCTTTCCAACCTTACTATTCCTCTAAACACCCTTGTCTCCAGCTATACTGAACTGTTTGGAGACTCTTGCATCGTCATCCTTTCCATCTCTGTGCTTTTGCATAGTGCTTCTTTCACCTGCCTTGAACGTGCTTTTTAGCCCTCTCAGCTCCAGCAGCACCTCCTAGCCTAACTTTACCTTGATCATTCCTTCCTTCTCTTTTTGTGGCTGTTATCACACTTACCACACTGAATTGCAACTTTCTATTTACACATCTTTCTTCCCTACTTAACAGAGCTTCTGAAGATCAGAGACGCTGCATTTTTCCCCCTTAATCTCTTTTCATCAACATTACATGGAATGAATAACTCAATGAATGAATGGCTGAGGAAGCTGAGCTAAGCCAAAGTCAGGATTGGCAGACTACCAGGTTTTCTTGTAACAGCTTTATTAAGATGTAATTTACATACCATACAATTCATAGGGTTGTGCAACCGTCACTGCAATCTAATTTTAAAACACTTTTGTCTCCCCAAAAAACCTGTGACCATTAGCAGTCGCTCTCTATTCCTATTCCCCACCCTCCAATGCACTCTCCAGCCCTAAGCAACTACTCATCTACTTTCTCTGACAGCTAAATATAACATAGGTAAATTAATCACAAATCCTTAAAATCTACCCCAATATCTGGACCATGATGTGAAATTTGGAAGGTAATTGTCCCATGTTATCAATTTGTACCACAGAGACTCAAATTTGGGGTGTGGGCTGGGAACAGTGGCTCACGCCTGGAATCACTGTGATCCAAAACTTAGGGAGGCTAAGGTGGGAGGACTGCTTGAGGCCAGGAGTTTCAGACCAGCCTGAGCAAATAGTGAGACCCTATCTGTACAAAAAATAAGAAAAATGTACCGGTTGTGTTGGTGTGCACCTGTACTCCCAGCTACTTAAGAAGCTGAGGCAGGAGGATCGCTTGAGCCCAGGAGTTCAGGCTGCAGTCAGCCTGCACTGCACTCCAGCCTGGGCAACAGAGCGAGACCCTGTCTCTTAAAAAAAACAAAAAAACAAAAACAGGCTGGTCCGAAGGTAGTGAGTTGTCTCACGTGATTGTTCACAGTCAGTTACAGATTGAACTCCTTGTTCTACTACTTTCCCCCCTCCTCACTACTGCACTTGACTAGTCTTAAAAAAAAAAAAAAAAACACACAAAAACAAACTTGGAGGCCTGAAACACAAGCAGGTTTAATTCGCAATTTATTAGAGCTAGAACCACATTTAATAGGGGTGGTTAATTTGGTCTTGCTTTTCACTATTGCTGTTGAAGTTGATCTCCCTTTAGCTGTTTATACTTTGGCAGAAAACAGTAACTGAAAAAACTCAGGACCGCTGATAGAATTTGTGATAAGGGCCTAGGTACAGTGCCTGGAAGGGAGTTTAGCCCCTATAAAATATCACGGATTAAGAATTACATGAGTAGCAGCTCTCTGGTGCTTTTATTTTTAACGCGATTCTTTCACAGGACCGCCTCCGGATGGGTGCCGCGCGTGTAGCCACGCGGGAAACTTCAAGTACCAGCACTGGGCGTCTAAAGCGCGCAGCATTTTCCAAATGAGGATGGTCTCAGGCGTTGCCGGGCAGTAGCGTTTCCCTTCGCGGTCGCCGCGCCCAGTCGCGCGCGCAGTGACGTACACGGCGCGCCATGACGCAGCGCGCGGCGCGGTGCACGCTGGGATATTTAAGTCTTCTCCGCGGCGCGGAGCCGCGATGTCTCCGGCGGCTGCGGCGGCTGGAGGAGGCGAGCGGCGGCGGCCCATAGCGAGTGTCAGGGCCGGCCGAGGCCGGGGCGGGGGCTGCGGCGGGCCGGCCGGGGCGGCGCTCCTCGGCCTGTCGCTGCTAGGCCTCGTGCTGTACCTGGTGCCAGCGGTGGCTGCGCTGGCCTGGCTGGCTGTGGGGGCTACCGCGGCCTGGTGGGGGCTGAGCCCCGAGCCCCGAGGTTCGCGCGCCTTGTCCTCGCTCGTTCGGAACGCGCGGCGTCGGCGAACACTGCTCTCTTCGCCTCCGACCAAGTCTGCAGTAAACGGAAATCTTCTAGAGCCGCGGACCCTACTCGAAGGACCTGACCCTGCTGAACTGCTCCTCATGGGCAGTTACCTGGGCAAACCTGGCCCTCCGCAGCCTGCCCCCGCTCAGGAGGGCAGGGACCTGCGAGAGAGGCCTGGTCGCCGCCCACCCGCCCGTCTCGCCCGTCCTTCCCCTACCAACCCTCCAACCCATCGTGTCCACCACGTTTACCCCTCTCTCCCCACTCCTTTTCTCCGATCCTCTAGGAGGCCTTCCCACAGGTAAGATACACTGATCTTCGCATGATCCTCCTCTGGATAGACTGGCTTTAAATTGAGGGCTTGACTTTTAAATCGATTTTCTTTTTCATCACATCCAAAGTGGATTTTGTGTGGTTTTGTCCTCTTTGACAAAACCTTGCTGTGTATCAGCCGTCTCTTGATCTCCTCTAACTCTTGAAATGAGATG